TCATGGAATGACCCAGCATCATTTTTAAATATTTAACTAAACATCTCACATTGTCAACTTGAAATGTGACGGAAATGTACTTTCAGGAGTTTTAACAAGCAAAGACAAAATAAAGAGTAGCTTGATAACAGGCTGAAAAATAATCTTCAGATTTCTGATTTTGAGTTGGTTCAGTCACTCTTTACCTGTCCTGTGTCGTGCTCATATTTAAATTTCTGAATGAACCTAGCAACTCATTATAACTTTTAACTGGAAACGTTTGAGTACACAAAGTTAAAGTTAGAATTCTTCCCATGAAAAGAATAAAGAGTTGTGAAATTAAATACACAATCAAGTGTACATATAGTATTTGTGTAGAAAGCCTCGTCTGAACATACCTTACATTTATTTATTTTTTCAAAAACTAAATTCAATAATGTATTCAAATACTTTTGAATAGTTATTGACAAATGTAAAAAACTTTTTCTGCCTACCGTCTGTTAATGATTACAGCCCATTCCATTTATGCACCGTGCCTTTGTCTAGACAGAAAAGACATTTCTCTGTATACAACCGGCTAATGCAGTGAATACAAGAGTCCTTCGGCTGGCTGATTGAAATTGATTGAGTGGTGCTGAAGGTAATTGAATACTGCTGAAATAGCCTACTGGTTCCTTTGAGAGCAACAAGGAAATACTGTTTAACGGCTCTAAAGCAAAGACAGAACAAATGGCATCTGTTGTATCCTGACTCATATCCAACATTCTTAATGAGTACAAAGTTTGTGTACATGCCTTATATTATAACTTTGCATTGGGAATGAGGTTGCCTATTATCCAAATTATTTTTTAAAAGAAAATAAAAAAGTATGCCAATAGCAGAATAGACCACTCTAACATATCAAATGAGGTAAGGCATTGATTTTATTTTACTTGAATATAACTAACGTTAATTCTAAGCTAAGTGCATCTGCCATTTTTTTCAGGTTTGCAGAGCTCTTTAACTAAATACAGAAGTAACAGTAAACACAAAATCTGTTTTTCATTGTTATGGCATCGCCAAAGACATTCAGATTCATTTGTATACAGTCTTTTAATTCAGTAGTCGATATTACAACCCGATATCACAGCAAAGAGTGTAACAGACATGTCGCTCCACCATGTTCATTTCACACTGCCTCTCCAAAGCGTGAAATGCACACACCATTATACTACTGCAAGAGAACAAGTTGGTAGTTGGTAATTGCCAGAAATGATTAAGCTAGACATTATTTTTATTTGCATGTAAAATGTTAATAATGTCTGTTTAAATGCTTCACATTTTCTTGAAATAAAATATCTTCCTCTGCTGTTACTGCAGATTACTGCAACTTCTGCATGTGTGTACATGTCATGCTTTGGAGAGGCAACGTGTGAAATGTACACTGTAGACTGGTGTGTCTGTTATGCATTTTCCCTCAACTGGTAGCAGAGCACTCATTGTTTGATAGCATTAATAGGGATTGAGGCCTTATACTTTCCAAGAAAGACTACACATTTTGTTTTTGTACGTGAGATGGTTTCAAGATATAAATTAGAAAATGTATAATAATTTCATACTGTTCTCACCCGCCACAGGGTGAGAACAGTATGAAATGTCACAATAGGACCTTACATAGGACCACAGTAACCTTACAATGTCACAATAGACACCAACACTTCCTGGGATGCTAAATTGAATAAATGGAAGAAAATGGAAAAATGGATGTGTGCAGTTTCGTACTGTATACTTTAATATGTCTCCATGAGCGAGGTTAGCTGTGTGCTGTCAGCAGTTTTACACTACCTTGCATTTGTGAAGCATCATGCTCTTTATTTGCATTTTGGACACCAACAGCTGGCTGAATATAATGGTCTCTCTGTATCTTTCACCAGAAAACAATGGGACTTGAAGTATTTTTTTAACAAGACACTTATTGTATTGAATGTGGCAAACTCAAAAATTGGTGACTGGTTAATTTTAGCAATAAATTTACCCTGAAAAAATGAGAGGGTTGCTGATATTGTATTATTTTCTGTTATTAGACATTCCTTTTACATTCCCTGAAATTCAGATTTTAGTTTAAATATTACCATATATGCTCCAGACTAAAACTTGAACCACCAGTCGCAATCCAAACGCTTTTCTTCTCTACCTAACTGAACTCTTGGAAGTAAATTTATCATGAAGGTGAGTGAGCTCATTATCTCGCTTCATCTCAGACTGAGACAGTTGAACTGAAAAGACACACACACACACTCAGACTCATTGTTCACGCATTGCGTCTGGTAGAGTGCACCATGCACCGGAGCAGACATTTGAGAGAGGTCATGAAGTTCACCCTCTTCTCTCCTCTTCCTCCTGTATGAATATCAGCCTTTCGGTGACATGGCCTGACTGGCAACACACTATCTTCTTCTTCTTCCTCACTTCTCTGTAAAAAAAAAAAGTAGCACAACCTTGGTGAACAATACTGCTAAGATCGTTCTACATTTTTTGATGATAATGGGTTTTTGGTGCAGTTTGTAAAGATGGAGTGTGACGGCCTTGAGTTGGCCTTATCTTGACGTGCTCTGTTGGCTACGCTTTTCTTGTTGTTCCTGGAAGTTGATGGGTGGAGTTCAGACCTCGAATCCAGAGATGTAATGCAAGATCTATTAGATCCTGTCTATCATTTCCTCTGGCTGGCAGGTTGATCTGCCTATTGTTGTTTTGTCTTTTTTATATCCTTTGGCCTTATTTGAAAGGCATGTGCATTTTCTCTCATAGTCAACAAAGGCTTTCACTCTCTCGTTGTAAGATGGTAGTATAACCTTTGTCTTATGAATAATAATTTGGTTTTTGTTTGCTCAGCCTGCCAATGTCTGAATTAACACTGAACAGAACTGACTTTGAAAGGTCCAGGTCATTTAATCTGCCTGTTTGATACATTGACAGAAAAGACAGTTCTATCAGGTCCCAAGCGTCTGAACATTTCTGTTAATGGCTGAAAACTGATGAAGTTTGAAGACATTTGCAGCCTTTTCTGAATTCACCCAGTTAGAGCAGGGCGATATGGCCAAAAATATTTATCACGATATATATTTGACAATTTGCGATAACGATATAACTGACGATATAACTGACGATATAACTGACGATATAATTGACGCGAGACAAAATACAACTCCACAACTGTACTAGCGCAAAAAAACCCATTCATGTATTTTCACTTAAACAAGCAGCTGTTTATGTGTATTAAAGCTATATAAAAATTTAACTGTGCAAATGCAAATTCCTTGCTGAAAGTTTAACCAAAAGGCATTTCCAGTAGAAATGGGCTGACATATCCTGAGCATAACCATGTATAATATCCACTGAAGTTAAAAAGAGGTGCTTTGCAACATTAAACTGCAGTGTGCCAAATAAAAAAGTCAAATACGTATTTTTCAGACCATAAGGTGCACGGGATTATAAGGCACATTAAGCTAAACAAAGCAGTCAGATAAATCAAACTTTATTCAACTCATACTTCTTGCTTCTTCCACTTCTGTACCATTGATTCATTAATGCTGTATTCTGTTACAGCTGCTCTATTCCTGTGTTGTTGCAGTATATTATTGACTAACCTCGTATTGTGGATGGATTGTCTCAGTTGTTCTCCTGACTGAAGTTTGGTCCGTTTACAGCATCCTGCCGTCCAATTGCATTTGTCTCTAACCATCAGGAACCCTCACGTTAACTTTTATCGAGTGGAAAAATGTTAGCGTTGATTCCTCCAGATTCACCATTTATGTTATGCTAACATAGCTGTGTCACTAGCGATCACGTAGCACATCATTATAAGTCAGCTAGCCCAACTTCAGTAACTTTACAAACATTACTGCTGTTTAGTTTCCTGTCTTCATTTACTGTATGTTGGAAGTGATAGCAGAGCTGTACGTTTGAATTTTTCAGAAATCTCTCAGTCAGAACATGCTATATCATGCTCAGGTAACTAGTGAAACTAGCGAGCTAACTTCCGCTAACTTCCTGCTAGCTTCTAACTCCGTTAAGTGTAATAAATTCTGTTTTCATGGATGCCTGGATGTTAAACTTCATAGTTACACCTGGTAAAGCAGCAATGCTGATCGTTTTATTAAAGATGAAAGAATTTAGACATTTTAACTCTCAGTGATGCTGCAGGGTTTGTTTGACTTTGGGACCTGAAGGGACGGAGTTTAGGACCCAGATTACTCCCAGATTTACGAGCGCCTTAGTCCCACAAATACGGCAATAACTACGGCCCGCTTGCATGTTCTACAAAAAACTGCTTTGTTTTGTATCTGACGGACAAACACCAAACCAGTTCCACATCACTGAAGTGGCAAAATTTTTACAAACTAATTCTGGTTCATTCGCTTCACTCAACGATCTGCTTTCTCCCTTCTCATTCTCCGTTGCCGCCATGCTTTTTTTGGCCATGTGCGTATGAAAACAAAGGCACTACACATGCGCGTTTTACCCATCTTCTATCGCGATATTTTATTTTCTTATCGTTGCCTAACATTGTACCGGTATTACTGTGAACGGTATAATATGGCCCAGCCCTACACCCAATCTCTTAGTTTCTCAGACCCCCAACCGAACTGAAATCTTCTGTTACTAGTTGCTTGACCTGGTCTTTATGGTTCTTAGACTTGGTTGTTATTTGTACTTTTTTTGACCTTTTGTTTACTGCTTCTTCTTTAGGTTTGCTTTTTTTTTTTTTCACTTAATCTATCAGGCTTCAGTTGTCTGCTTTTTGGGTCCTGTATTGGATAGAGTTGACTCTATTTGCATTCTGCCAGGATCCTATCCTTCAGACAGGAAATGTTAGAATTATCTTCTAAGTTGAGTCAGCCAAAGTAAAGCCATTCAGTGTTAAAGTGCTAAAATGATATGCTATTCTTACTTTGTTATGCATATTACATGTTTGAACCCTATTTTTAAAGTTCTCAAAAATAAATAAATGTGGTTCTCAATCATGCATTTTTCTTTTCTAGGGCAGTGACGACGGCGATGTGGACAAGAATAAATGCTGCACACTGTGTAACATGTCCTTCACCTCAGCGGTTGTGGCACAGTCACACTACCAGGGTAAAATCCACGCAAAGAGGCTAAAACTACTACTGGGAGAGCAGCCTGCCATCACAACCAAAGGTATATCCCCTGTTAAAAATTCATCATGGCTATCAATGATGGAAGAGCTACATGTGTTCAAAGGGGATTTATAATTGAGAAGAAAATAATTAAGGAATGAGAGACAAGTTATAGTACTTAAGGCTACCATCAAGATATGTGTTGGCAGTCTCGTAGATGTATATGTGAAATTAAATATATGACAGATCGGGTTTTCTGTTCTCCCTATATTTCCATACCTACTGTATCTGAGCTTAGGAGCAATGCAATAGGACAGACTCTTAGATCAGTGATCCAAAATGTCACAAATAAAAAAGGGGTGCTGTATGGTCAGTATATACTGCGGGAGCCCATAGGCTAGACCAGGGGTAGGGAAATCCAGGCCTCGAGAGCCGGTGTCCTGAAGGTTTTAGATGTGTCCTTGATCCAACACAGCTGATTTAAATGGCTAAATTAGCTCCTCAACATGTTTTGAAGTTCTCCAGAGGCCTGGTAATGAAATAATCATTTGATTCAGGTGTGTTGACCCAGGGTGACATCTAAAACCTGTGGGACACCGGCTCTCGAGGCCTGCAGTTCCCTACCCCTGGGCTACTCCTGTAGCATACTCATGGAGATGAGGAATAAATTATAATTATATTTATATAATTATAATTATATATATAATTTTATGTTGTTTTTCTGCCTACCTTTGTGCTGAGTTTTGAAGTACACAATACTTTATCTACAGAGACTTCATGACAAATAAATCATAAGACTTATGAAACTGTGTTATGTCATGGAAGCAACTCAGAATTAAAGAAAATGGTCTTTGTTTAGAACACTTGATTCCTGATTTCTTACTTTTTTGCATATTTGTCACAGTTAAATATTTTAGATCATCAAATGCTAAGGATGTTATGACGAGATATTAGGTTTGAATATCTTTTTCCCTTAATAAATGAATTCATCAATTAAAAACATCATTGTACTTTGTATTTACTCAGGTTATCTTTGTCTCATCTTAAAATTTGTTTGATAATCTGAAGCATTTAAATATGACTAATATGCAAAAAACTCCATCCATCCATCTATTGTCTTCCGCTTATCTGGGGCCAGGTCGCGGGGGCAGCAGCCCAAGCAGAAAAGCCCAGACCTCCCTCTCCCCAGCCACCTCCTCCAGCTTGTCCGTGGGGACACCATGGCGTTCCCAGGCCAGCCGAGAGATATAAGCTCTCCAGCGTGTCCTGGGTCTGCCCTGGGACCTCCTCCCTGTGGGACATTCCCGGAACACCTCACCGAGGAGGTGCCTACGAGGCATCCTTGTCAGATGCCAGAACCACCTTTCAATGTGGAGCAGCAGCGGCTCTACTCTGAGCCCCTCCCAAATGGCCGAACTTCTCACCCTATCTCTAAGGGAGAGGCCAGCCACCCTTCAGAGGAAGCCCATTTCCGCCGCTTGTATCCGCAATCTCGTTCTTTCGGTCACTACCCACAGCTCGTGGCCATAGGTAAGGGTAGGGACGTAGATCGACCGGTAAATTGAGAGCTTCGCTTTTACACTCAGCTCCCTCTTCCCCACAACAGACCGGTACGGCGTCCGCATCACTGCACCCGCTGCACTAATCCATCTGTCGATCTCCAGCTCCCTTCTCCCATCACTTGTGAACATGACCCCAAGGTACTTAAACTCCTCCACTTGTGGCAGGAACTCGTTCCTGACCCAGAGTGGGCACTCCACCCTTTTCCGGCTGATGGCCATGGCCTCACATTTGGAGGTGTTGATTCTCATTCCCAAAAAACTCAAGAAGGGGAACTCAGGAGCGGTATTTACTTACATACACTATACATACATACATACATACACACATATGAGCCACATTAGATTCCAACAATTGATTTGTGTTATATTTTAATAAAATTGCTTTCAACATCCATACATCAATGTTTTAACTGCTTATCCAGTCTTGCTGTCATTGCTCTGAATATGTACCTGTTAAATCTTTATTTCAAATTATTACATTATCACAAAATATGGAACTTTTTATGTGGACATTTTACACTTGATCTGCCCCTCAGCAAAAGCAACAAAGATACAGTTGAGTACCACCTGAAAAGGGTACAAAAGGTACACATGATGGTCTGTGGTTAGTAATGTTGCCTGACAGCAAGAAGGTCCTGCCTTCAATTCCACCATCAGATCAGCCTTTCTGTGTGGAGTTTGCATGTTCTTTCCGTGGGTTCTCTCCAGGTACCACAGTCCAAAGACATGCAGTTAGGTTTGGGTAAATTGATGATTCTAAATTGCCCATAGGTGTGAATGTGTGAAGCGAATGGTTGTCTGTCTCTATGTGTTTGCCCTGCGACAGACTGGCAACCCGTCCAGGGTGCGCCCTGCCTCTCACCCTAAGACAGCTTAGATAGGCTCCAACCCCCCCGCTGAATTGGATAAGTGGAAGAGAATGAATGGATGCACCATGGGATTGGATCACGGTCTGATCTTGTATCAGCTGATGGAAAGATGTCAGACTTATATCTGATAATCAGTATAATATGTATTTTACCTGGTATAATTTTACCAGGGTCTAATTACGTGCCAACAGCAGGTCACGAGTTGGTGTGTTTGCATGTTTCCTTATTTCATGAGTCTGTGTGCGTGTTATTTAGAGTTAATCACCAGCTGCTCTTTACCTCAGGGTGATCAAAGCCTGCTGCCGTTGTAATTTGCTGAGAGCTACTTACCTTGAAATCACGTACATATTAGCAGTTGCGAAAATAATGAGCAAAGGTCACAGAGGAAATACAGCAAACATAATTTTAGATCATTTTAAAGCCCAACACCTGAGTCCACAGTGAGCAGCGTGGATGTGGGTAACTGAGCTTTGTTTGTTTCCTGTGGTTTTTTGGTGCTCCAGTTGACCAGGTCATTGATATGCACTGCAGAGCTTTGTGTTTTACTTTGTGCCCTCACTGCTACATTTCTTTTCATTTGTTGGATGCGTTCAGCTGGCTGATAAGGCAGTGCATTTTTATAGTGGTATTATCTGAAGCCTCACATTGTTGGACCATCCTGAGTTTATCCAGCATTAGTGCTGCCTCAGGCACTGCAGCCTTTTTCCCCTTCGAAAGTGGGAGGATTGAATCCGTAGATTGTCACAGAAACCTCTTGTCTTTGAGTTCATGTTTGACTTAACCTTCTGGCTGAAAAACCTGAATAATTTCTTTCACCGCAGCAGTTCTAGAACAGCATTTACACTTGAAAGTAATGGAAAGGTCCTCTGTTTTACTTCAGGCCAACGGCAAGTTGCGTTTTCTTTGTATTGTGTTTGTGAACTGAAAAAATAGCAGGACAGATTATGATTTAAGTGAGGTCGAAATATTAAAGCTCTCGAAACTGTGGTAGTGATCACCAAATGCTGCTGCATAGTGGCACTTCCCTCTGGTGCATTGACAGCCCAGTTTCCACATGTGGTCTCTGTGCTTTTTTATTCTCGGGATCTAAATTGATCTCTTGCTGCTCATGCTTAGCTGGTTCAAATATTAAGGATCTGAGGCAGTCACTAAAAAAAAGCTTGATGCCAAACAGAGTTTTTGTAAATTCTCAGTGCAGTTTTCCTGTCAAGTTCACAGTTATACTGCTAAAGAATAACTTTTCACTCTGTCTCACATAAGTCATTTATATTACACTTTTCTCAGCGTTCTAAGCCTTTTTAAGCATAACTTAAAAATAACAAGTTACATTAACATCAGATTTCTGGAAATATGATGTGTTTAGGATGTGCTTTACTTTTGTTCTGCAATAAATCAAGAAAGATGGCATGAACTTCACCTCTCAGGATGCTGGGATGCAGATTGTGATCACAGAGTCCATACATGGCATTTCCCTATGTTCATATATAGTCAATCTAATTGTATTGTCTGTTTACAGTAAATACCACTGAAGTGTGTTTTGTCTCTCGTCCTTACTGCTGTTCACATCTCCATGGTGCTGAAATGCAAGAAACAGTATCTGAAATGAACTTTTTGACTCACCGCCCAAGGGTACTGAAAAAATCCACTTGTTAAGCTCATTTCTTTATTAGGCAAACTGTTAAGTCAGCTTTTTGTGTCTTATACATTTGTTTATATATATTTCATTGGGGTAATATGATATAATGCTGAATTCAGCCATAAAGAAGCCAATATGTGAAGCAAGATTTTCTAAATATGTTAATAAAATCAGGCCTCAAGAAGTCTTGATCTTCACCAACATCATCATCATCCACTCTGCTGTCTACAGCCTTTATAGATTTAACTTTTCAAATAGAAAATCTACCTAACGTGTGGTGCTTGATGGGTTGTAACATGTAACATGTATGCAGTATGTTATTTCTGACATCTTCTTAGACACTTAAATGAAAAGAATGGGATTAAATAAATAATTAGACTTTTGGTTAAAATCCATTTACAAAAATATAAATGTTTTGTTTGGAAATGTCTGGTATATTTATAGAGGACGTTATTTCCCTCCTGCTATTGTAAAACTGTTTAAAGCAGTATAGTGTGAACCCAAATGCATTAAGAGCTCAGATTGAATAAAGAACAAAAAGTCTGAATGAAAACTTACAGGGGGTAGCAAAGCCTCACAGATGAAGAAAAACAGTGTTGCTGAACAAAAAAGGAAAATAAAAACAAAAAAAGTCCCAGGGAAAGTTTCCAGGGAAAAAAAACAGAAGAAGATTAAAAATGCATGAGGACACAAAAATCCAAGCAAATCAGACAACTGGGGACAGTTAGGACAGGCTACTGGCTGGAAAACTGGGAAGAAGACCTCAGGCACAAAGCCTATCAAGACAAGTCAGGCAAGTCCAAAGGCAGAGCAGACTAGCTGAACTGTTCCAGAGGGCACTGTGACTGAAGGGCAGACTGGCAAGACTGGTTAGTGGGGGACAGGTTGAGCAGACAGATGGGACTAAAAGCTACGATCCAGTGACAAACACAGAATGACTCTGTGGGCTGGGTAAAGAGCATTCAGCAAAGTTCTGCACAGACTTTTCAGATAA